GACACAGGAAATTATCTTATTCAACAGAGCAATTGAATTTTGCAGAATTCCTCTAGTGTGCCCTAAAATGTTACAGTTCACTACAGTGAATGTGCAATGTGAAGAAGTTGCTGCCTTTTATGTTATACAGAAACCTTTCAAAAATGCCTGATTTACCCTTTTCCATTCCAAAGCTTTCAAAACCCAGGTGGATAAAGTTTAGAGCAGCTTGATCTCATCTCATAGCTGTTCTTTAAGCAGGAGCTTTGATTAGAGAGCTTGTGAGCATCCTCACAACAATAAATAATCCTCTGATCATGTTAAATAGCATTCAAACCCAAGTATTTTTAAAAAAGCAATATGCGCCCCTGGACTACCTGATAAGGAAGCATAACTCTATAATAAAATCTAAATACTAGGATTTGAGTTTAAATTCAAATTACAAAATACCCCAATAATTATTAACTCAAAGATTTTCTTTAAAGCTAAATTAACAGTTCTGCCTGATTCACAAAGTACCTGTACTATAACACAACTACAATATTTAAGCTTGTAGAAGTGAGTAGTTTCAATACACACAGTGAAAAAATCTACTGAAGAGATTTCTATACACAACTTTTAATGAAAACTCAGAGAAAGAGCATGACCTAGCAGCAAGACTTTTTGGTTTTTCTTTGTTGTACAGCATTGGATTTACATGCAGCATTATTAAATGGTAACCTATCTAGACAATAACATATCTAAGATATAAGCATCATTCGAATTAAGTCCATTTTCACTAAGGCAATGAGTCAAAATTCCCTATTAAAAACTTGAATACAAAAATATGAGTTTTTACGAACAAGCAACAAACACACACATTATATATTCTCTGATTAAAACATTATGCAATAGAAATTCCAAGTTTATGTGTTACAAAATAAAATGAGGTAACAGGTACAAGTCATGGTCGACAGGAAATTGAAAATTTTCGAAGTTTGTCCCAGAAGAATCCTCTTATATTTCCTTTCTGAAAATGTGTTTTATCAGCTTCTTAAGGTGTCAAAAATGGAATAAAGCTTGTTATAAGCAAATGTATTCTCTTCAAGAGTGAAAGAGCAAATTCAACAGTTATAAAAAAGTTCACCAAATACACTATTCAGCCTTAAAATATAATTCAGATATTAAAACTGAATAGTTGTAATAAAAGTTTAATCCTCATGGTGCATAGTAGACAATTTCTGGTCATGTGAGAGCTTTTAAAAGTCAGTCACATCTGTAAAGGTCAAAATTTTTTAGCAACTTTTTTTCTCTCCAAACCCCACTTTATAATCAACAGTTTTCAGTTGGAGAAAAAGATCAAAAAATCACAACTTGAAGAATGTGGAAAATATTTTTAAACAGGAAATATATCTGAGGAAACTAAATTCTACTTAAGAAATATGTGTATAGAACGAAAATAGAAAATATGTATATGGAACAAAAATATGTACATTTTTTAGTCTTGATTTAAATGTTAGATTTGATAACCTAGATTTTGAAAGAAAAAAGTCTTCTGAACAGGACTAGCTACTGTTCAGAAAAGGACTGATAAATGTCATGGACAAGACTTTTAAAAATTCTAATGCCATTCCTTAAGCTACAATTTACCTCATTTGTTCTGGCAACATTTACCCATGACAGCAATGCTCAGTGTGTAGAATATTATAGGATGTGGGAGTTCATAGTAATATTACTTCATTGTTCAACATAAACCATCATACATAGCTTAAAAAAGGCAAGATATTTAATTACACGAGTTTATCTTTGGTGCACGACTTGTAACTGTTTAGTACACTTATCTCTCAAGCAGTTGATCTGAATTACACTGCTTGCGAAGAGCATTAGGGCTTTCCAGATGAGAATTAAATTGAAGCAACTAGACTACAGCATTGTTATGCTCAAGGGGAATTAATGGAATTTTAGACATATTCTGGAGAATGTCAATTTCAATTCTTACAACTATTTACTGAAATAATAAGACATTTGAGTTCTAGTAAAACTCTGGTGACTCGAGTAATGCTGATTTTTGGGGTATATATATACAAAAGTAGTCCATACTCATGCAGCTGAAATAAAAGATCTCAGCTACTTATCCTAAGACGTACAAGGCAGGAGAAAACATATCTCCAGAAAAGACATGTTATAATAAAATCCAACTGAACATTTTTCAGGTGTGCAGATTGAAAATGACAAGCAGTAGGATATAAACTAAAGCATGACCTTCACACCTGTAATTGCTGATCTTTTCCACTCCTGTCAGACCTCCAATTCATATAAGAACCTGAAACCCCTTACTTGAATCACTGTTTTGACAGTGGCCCCCTTCAAATCTTTACTCCTCCCCTCCTCTGCCACAGACACACCTGGCTCTGCTGTGCTTGACAACCTTCTTGGCAGCCACAGGTCTCACCTGGCCAGCCACCACTGCCATACAGAGCTGCTCACATCATCTTAGCTGCCTACAAAGCTGCAGCACTTGCCCCACGACTGCATGGGCTCCTTCTGTGCCTCCCCACACCTGCTTCCATGTGCTCCAACACACACTGAGGACTACATCTTTTCATTCTTCACACAATAAAGTATCTGGTGTTAATGCCAGAGCATAATGGAGCTTTCCCATTTATTGAATAAATAAACTTGCTATGGTAGTGTTATTTCAGAGCAGTGTAAACCAGCCTGGGTGACTCTCACATGCCCTACAGCTAAACTCACTGCAGGGAAATCCACAATGCCTTTTCTTGTGAAAAGCACCTAGAGATTGATCAGCAGTTTCTGGACTAAAGGCAAATCCATGAAAAGAAATGCCACAAACAAGACAACACTCAAATACCCTTGCAGCACTACCTTCCTCATCCAGAAGCGCTGACTAAACTTTACCTTTGCTGAAATGTAGAATGCAGAAGGAAAAGGCCCAGGATCAGCAGAAGTTGCCAGGGTGCACAAGGAAAGGGCTCAGTTCAGCCATCTTCTCCATCACACACGGAGTGCCACACACTCACCACATCATCAGAAAGGCAGGCAACAAGCAAAAGCACAGTTCTTTCCTGACATATGAGAAGCCCAGGGAGTCTCCAATAATTGGAACGTAGGGTTTTAATTTTTTTTTCCTTGTAAGTCAGGGCAAGCAGACTGCCTGCGGAGAGCACCGTTCTAGACAGCACAAGCAGCTAGGTGTATCTACCTAGTTGCTAAGTTATTATTACGAAAATCCTCTACAAAAACATGCCCATTCAACCAGGCTTAACACAATCCTGGAGGCTTTGCTTTCCATCTCCTTTGTGCATGTGTTTCATGCATATTTATTTATTTATTTATTTATAATAAATAAATAATAATAATTTATTTATAACAAAATTCTTACCTATTCCAAAAATTTAATTTATTTCAAAGAGGTATATAAACTTGGGTTTTCCTCAGTAATAGTTCATTAACAAACTTGAAGCTACCATTAGCAGGACAAAACACTGGTCTTTTGAGAATGAACAAGAAGTAAATCTCAAAATGCAGAGTTATTGTTGGAAAATTAATTCTAGCTACTGATATCTAACAGGATAAAAACCTAAAACTAGGCACTCACACTGCATACATTAAGTAGATAGAAAAATGCAACATATGTAAAAGTTTTGTAAACTCTACTCTATATCATTAAAAATGACAACAGGATTTCAAAAGTGTCTTCAGTAATGCTCAATGGAGACCAAACTTAGTTACTACATTGGCATACCAGAAAACATATTTACATATGCAGAACCAGAGGGGACATCTTCAAACTACCATTTTTTAAAAAGAACAAACCACACTGTTCATGTGTGGGCTTTATCACAACGCCTTTTCACAAAAATATTTATGGAAAGTTCTGATACTCAAACAGTTTAAACAAACTTGTTACAGAGCACTGATAGATCTGCAACATTTGTAATACTCCTTCACCATGCACATAACATTCTCACAATGCACCATTTCTTCTGAAACATATAATACATGCACTGGTGACAGTATAAAAATAATACATGCACTGGTGACAGTATAAAAATAAAAAAATAGTGTAAGAGGGTTTTTCTAATTTGAAAAATGCAAATTTTTTTCCCCAGATGCTTAACAGTATTATTCTCTTACAAAAAATGAGATGTTCTGCACAATTTTGGTTTCACTTGTGCTGACTTTGAATTGCATAACATATCTGAAGTATTAATATTCCCCAAAATTTGATCAAGACCACTTAAACTCTACTTAGGCTGAATTACACAATGCTTAAAAAATAAATCTAGTATTTCTAGATGTGTTCTAACTTTATTAAGTATTTCACTTACTCTCCATAGTCCCAATAAATTATGTGTTTTATTGAGAGCAACTCCTTTACAATTACTTCTAATAGGCAAGATATATCCATTGTAATTTGTCACTTGCATAATTAAATAAAAGTCCTACCTTTCTCAAAGAACAGAGCACAGCATTCCTAGTGCAAAAAACAAGAATTCAGTCTGAAGCAGGGCTACACTTCTCTTGTATTTTGAAAAAAAGTTGAAAAATTTTACAACTGTCAGAGAACTGTGCAATTAAAGCCTGCCTTAAACATCATAATCCAAAAATGCTGTAAGAGTCCCTTTTCTTCCAAGAACTTGTCAATGAAAGGTTGCCAATGAAAGGTCCCATCAGCCACTCAAAGAATGTGTACAAAAATAATTTAATTGGAATATTCTATGAAACAGGTAATTTTACTAAGAGCTCAGACACTGACATATTGATTCCTGTTAAAGGGACACCTACACTAACCAGTGTTCAACGGCTGATTAAACTATAATGTTCCCCCAAATCTTATTTCAAGAGAATTTCTCATATCTTTTTTTAAATTAGAAAAAATATTACAAATCCAAAAGTGAGTCCATTTTTGGGGTGAGAGGTGGGTTTGCTTTGTTTCTCCACACAACATGGGAGAAGGTCCCTTTAACAAGGAAGGAGATAGGTATCACTTAATCAGGATGTGGGAATGGAATCTGTACCTATGGGTAAATGGCAATGCGTTCTGTGTTGGTTCAGCCCTTGGTTCTGAGTTCTGCGTCACTTCTGGCATCGCTCGCTCGTCATCTGTCCCGTTAATGCTCTCCGGAGTTAAAGGAGACTGAATATCCCCTCCAGCTGATTCCTTAAGTGAAAAAAACAACATATTGAAATTACAAACTGACCTGCCCAGAAAGGTTATGTACATAAAAGCACTAACATTCATTCTTAAGCAACACACAAACTTTAGTTAGTATTAATATCGTGTTCAGATTTCCAGCAACCTTCATGGTCCCATTTCATCATTTGTATTTAATACAAAATATATTACCAAAAGATTCACATTATCTTACACAAAACACAACTGGCATATGAATTCTTTGCAAGATACAACCTTTCACTTACTACAGACCTCTCTCTTACCTGGTATTACATTCCACTCTCATTCTGATACACAGTGGGTGACCCTTGACACTTGGAATTCTTGTCTCATACTTTACATTCTAATGCAGTGAAACAAACAATTCTGGTATTTGTTTCAAAATCCAGCTTTTGTGCTGTTTATTAACCAAAGTGAACAGCAGGAGGGCCATTTGTAGTGTGTTCCAGTTTCACCTATGAGCCATCTCCAAAGAATACTTGTTCACTAAAGTACAGGCAAAAACTTTCATAGGCATGTTAGCCTGGTCTAGCTCTTGCTGGTCATGCTATTATCGGTGAAGTAGGATACTCCAGCTACAGCCAGGTGTACACATAGATGTGGCTATGCAATTGAACACCTGGAGAACTTAATGGCTGCCTCCCAGCAGAAGGCACTGCTGTGGTTTTCATTACCTTTCATCACACCAGCATGTACATTTGTGTATACTTTTAAGAAAGTATGAAAAAGAAGAGAGTTGATAATATAAAGAGGCAAAAAAAAAATATTCTATACAAATGGCATGGTTTTGTCTCCTCCTCCTCCTCCTATTATTATTGTTATTATTTTCATCATCTAATAGGATAGAACAGTTTCCACTGACAATAAATGAAAGACTTTCTGGATCTAAACGGTTTTCTTCTATTTTTTTCTTCTTCTAAAACTACATTATATATTATAAAAATTTACATACCACAGTTTAAAATATCTGAATAGCTTTAAGATATAAAAGTATCTTTAAGATAAAATTCCTGCAACACTACTACTAGATACATAAAATCAGAGTGTACTTATTAAAATGTTTTAAATGTGAGTGCAAAAAATTATTTCAATAGAAGGAAAAAAATTACTATTTCCATCTAAGCTTTTTTTCATTAAAGTACTTCCATAGACTTCTAATATGAATGAAATTCAAGTAACAAAAATTAAGACAGAAAAACATCTCAGTCTATGTAATAGCTAAAGATTCATGGCCTGCAAATTCATGAACAAAAGAAACATTAGAAACAACAGTTTTTAATGTGTTTCTCCCCCACAAAAAGTACAGGTTAATCAGTGCTTCCACACATTCACAACTACCCCTGCCTGATAAGTAATTTATTTGCAGACAACTCTAATGGAGCTGACTATGAACAGAGCACCAAATATAACTGAAAAAGCCACTTACATTTGTGAAAAGATTTTTCACAAATGTTTTCAAATAATATTTTCCCATTTTATATTAATTAGAGGAGTAAAAGTATTTTAGAAACATTTTGTGAGATGTGCATCTGTAATTAAGTTTTTATTGCATACCATTATAACTTCACATATCCACTCCAGATTTTACAAAATTGGACCTGACATTGTGATATTTAGTATTTAAATTAAACATAATAGTGGGGTATTCATCAAAAGACATCTTATATTTCAACATCTTTAAAAAAACCCACAGAAGTGAGGGTTGCATCTTTTCTGCACTTACAGAAGGGTCCTTAAAGTAAAACAAGTAGACATTACAGCACAAATCAAACCACCTTTTAGTGATAACAATAAGGGACAGAAAAAATAGAAGTTAGTGGTTCTAAAATAATGAACAAAAAACCCCCAAATATAGCATGTTTAGATATTGGGTATTATACTGTTATCTCAGGAAGGATTCCACCTTCTTCACTCAGCTATTCTTCATAGCGCTTCTCTGCACTGGCTGGCAGTGGATAAGTCTACCAGCTACTGCCATCCAGACATGTATGAAACATTTTTTGCAGTATTTGTTGCAAAAATTCATATAACATCTCGGATCTTTTTTCACAAGCTCTAAGTGAATTTTGTACTTCTACAGAGAAAAAGACATAATAATAATGGATATTATTAGAATCACAGACAAGACTGTGATTTTAAATATTTACCACCCCACAATTTCAGAAACCAAAAAAGGTCTTAATCTGAAATGACTAGGGTCAGAAAAAAACTATCAGAGCACAGTCATCCTTAGAAGAAAAGGACTGAGGTTCAGATGCCAACTGATTGGGGTGAATCCTCTCAAGACTGATGGGGTGCAACTGCAGACTGCTCTATTTTGTTACGCACTTAAATCTAATTAAGGTTACTTTAAATTAAAAGAAAGGGGTGCAGGTAGGTAGACACAGTTGTCAGGCTATTGCTTCATGCAGTTCAGTGAACTTCAGATTTAAGTTCATGGTGAAGCTAGTAACTGAGAAATGGGCGGTTTGCCACGGCGAGATCCATGAGTTTTATAACAAAAGCAAAATTATTTCCTGTATTACAAGATGGATCTGGGAAATAGGAGGTGGCAAAGCAGGGGACCGAGTATTTCAGTTTTATGTAAACATAGTAAGAGGACTGCAAGTTTTTATTACCTAAGGCTCAGTTAAATGGACTCCAGATGGTATAGCTATGTGCATAGGTGGTCTTAGAAGTCCCAAAATAGACAACATCTTTCTAGACCAAAGCCTCCAGACGTACCAGATATAGCTAAATTGTGTACTATTATATGAATCTGTCTTCATACAGATGGCTTTAAAGCACAGGTTCTCTGACATAGAAAAAATATCCTACTCTTAATCTCGAGAAAGCCCAGGGTACTCAATGGGACTTACATACAAAAAAGCAGCACCTCTCTTCTAATTTGGGGGTCTAGGCCACTGTCTTTCTCTGAACAAGTAAAGTTCTCTTTACAGTTAAGGTAAATGGTGATTTTATCTATTATCTGATATTCTGGAAAATTAAAGTAAAGCCTGCTGGTAGGCAGGCGGAGAACAGGGGGTATTAAAGAAAGAGGGAGAATGAAGAGTTTAAAATTAGCACGAGCATTGCTTAGGGGACAAGGCACTCCTGCTATAAAGAAACTGTGAATTAGGCTATGTATGGTTTTCTTTCTACCATGTGTTTCCCACACACTAAAAAAATCCAAAGAACATATTCCATTCCAAGTGAAACAAAATATCAAAAAAACACATGGAACTTCTACTTCCTGGCCATTGAGGCCCTTTTAGGAGCAACACTTTGCTAAAGCACATAACACCTGACAGAATCAACCTAATTTTAGTGGACTTAAGGCAAAATTGCTCTGGAATTTTAAATGGCTAGAGTCTGCTAAATATTTGAACTACAAATACATATCAAATTTCTGAGATATTTTTGCTGCTATCTCTCGATTTCTATTTCTCTGCAGTTTCCCAAGTTTTTGCATGGCATTCAGAATTGAAACTCACATGTAGCAGAGATATTTTCAGGCTTGCATCAAACAATAGTGAACAGCAAATGTCTTGTGCAGTGTTTTGTTACATTAATTGTAGAGATATTTCATAAAGACTCAATCTGTAAGGGCATACTGAGGCAGAAAAGTGTACTTTTACTCTTTCAGAATTCTGTAGTAGAAAGGGCAGGAAATGTACCATATCCAGTACCTGCACCATATACAGTACTTGCAGTAACTTATGAATAATGACATTTTTTAAAGCTGTACCAAGAGAAATAAAACATTCTATTTAAGTTTGATATTTATATTTTCCAGTTTTGATATGCAGTATTTTCCTACTTATTACTAATTTAACACAGAAAGATATCTGCATGTCCAAGACTGCAGAGGGACTAATCCTTTTAGATACCTGAGTTATCATTACAGAGCTGATAAACCTCCCAATGTCCTTCCTGCCAATGCCACCAAAGCTCCACTGAAAAAGCCAGGTTCCTGCAGGACATTTTCTGACCATTAAAAATATCTCCTTCCTCTTACACTGTCATTCTCTGCAATGGATCACTATGCAAAAGGGCAAGAAGAGCTAGAACATGATTCAGAAAGACAGCAATTCAACTGTTTGCCTTGCAGCCACCTTTTAGTAGATGATGAAAATGAGAGCAGGTGCTCTTTAAAATGTCTCTATGGTCCCAACTTTCCTAGTACCAAGCACCCATCCTCCTCCCAGCCATAAATCTGACTGAATGAGCCCAGTACCACAAAACTGCTGGAGTTTGTCATGATGTCATTGCTTCTTATCTGTTCTAAACTCCAAAGTTCTTGATTTGATTCCCTTATCTCTACGAAACTAGCATGTGAAAACTACTATGTTCATGTGTCAGCACTTGCACTAACTGAATAACTCAGAATAATACATCAGCTTAACAACACAGTGAAAAGCAAAGAGAAGAAAAGTAAGGCCTTTATAGGAAATTATGTTTAAGTGTGCCATAATGAAATTGCAGCCCACAATAGGCATTATAGAATCACTCAGAGTAACATTTCTGTAACTGCCTACAGCATAAAATGTTAGGTTTCAACTGTAAAAAGAACTCTGTTCAGGAAAATGAACAGCATTAATGGCTCACTCAGTTTAAGAGAAAGCTTTAACCCTGATGAGTTGCAAGACAAAAGCGTCTTATCTCTGAGTGAATACCTCAAATTTACGATCAAACCATGTAATAAGTCGCTCCACATGACAGCGTCAGATTTAACTTCTGAGTCCAAAATATTAATCAATGTGTCAAAAGAGAAGCATAATAATTTTTTGTCTATACCATCAAGTAACTAGAGACCTGGGTGAAGCACTTCACTGTGTCTAAAGTCAAATGTGTATTTTTGATAAGTGTATAATATTGAAATACATACTTCCATTGTCTCTGTGGAATTTATCAAAAATTTAGAGACAGTAAAGTAAACTTATAGAAATCCCTGCCTTATATTTCTTCCATTTCATTGGAGTAAGCATTTTCGTATTAACAGCAAAAGCCAGCCTAGCATTTGGGCAAACTGCTTACAGGGAAAACAACACGATGCTTGTTCCTTGTGTATGTTCTGATTTCCACTGACTTCTCTTGGTAGGACACCAGATGTAGCTTTCTGGTAGCAATAAAACTATTTGTGCAGCACACTGCAAACTGCCTGCTATCCTTACTCCATCAAAGAGCAGGAGACTATTACAATAAAAAGCACTGAAGACAGACTGATTCAATGAAAAGACTCCCCAGAAAAAAGGTTCAGTCTACTCAACTCAGGAATCTCTGCTGTAGTTTTAAAGCTATTGCATTCTCCAAGAGAAGGAATTGTATTTGTCTTCACTACTGCTTAAAACAAAACCAAGAGCTGAGTCAAAAATCTTGGGCAGGAGGATTACACGAGAGATGGGGCATAAAAGCCTCAAGAAGTTTCTTTTTTCAAAGCAAATTCTAAGTATTCATAATTAATTATAGCAATAACTAATGTAAATGTGAATATAGTAACTGACTCTCTGTGCCTAGATTAACTCAGTTAGTGTTTTGAGATACCTTTTATAAACTCTTACTATACATCACAGCTAACTGTAACAGAACTCCAGAACCAGCCTGTGAATCTATCATCTTCCTTCAATGCATCTCACAAGAGAAAACTACACAGTAGGAAGTAAGTAAAAAAAGGTTTACTGTTTCAACCTTTATTTTTGGTGTAATGATTGTTCTATAAAAATTATTTACAGTTTTGTGAAGTTTTGTGGATACAAGAGGAAGTGTTTAGTGTAGTTCATTTACATAATCATGTTTATTCATTTTCTTGGGAAAGCTGAAACAAAGGAAAAGGAATAAAAAACCCACACAATTTTATGAACAACTCCCTTTGATTTGCTTTCAGTACATGTTAAATGCATTTTTAAGACTTCTTGACACTCTTGCTGACCAATGAGAGGATTCACAGTAACTGAGAAATCCCCCCTTAATTTTTAATAAATATGTAGGTAAAGAACAATAACAATAAGTAGCACAGGCAAGAAGTATGATGCTTGAATCAGGCAATAAGACTCACTTGAGAGGGTGTACTTGTTAGCTCCATCTTTTCATGGGATTTTTCCTTTGCTATTCGCGCAGCTTCTTTGAACTCCTGAAATTTTTCAGCAAACTGAAGGTACATATGTTTAAAGAATAAAAAAAAGAAAAGAGAGAAAGAGTAGGTGTGAAATAATACATTGCATGCAGAACAGAATGCTGTACTGTGCATTTCACAATGTCACATTCTGTCAGTAATTTAAAAAATTTTTCTCCTTATTAGATACTCATTTAAATGAGTTACACAGTGACATACCTTTCAGGCACTTAATACATATCTTAATACACACTCTTTATATGTCAGGAAAATGACAATTCAATGAAGCATGATCTGTTGCTGGTAGTTTTAAGAAACTCACCTCAGAGATGGCTAATAATAGGGACAAACTGCCTTGCATAGCTGCTCTCAGATTCTGGTTTTACCCTCCTCAAACAACAAATAATCTCCTTCTGAAGCCTAATGTGGTCACCATGAGCTAGGAAAGCTTTCAATGTACTTTGTTCTTTCACGACTGAAACAATACTGACTTCTTACCAAATGTTAACTGCATTTATAATTTCAATAGGTAATTAGAGAAGAAACAGTGGAAATACTGTGTTCATCTCTGGAACGTTCATTGACATCAATCAAGTTAATGAACAAATTCACTGAATTAGAACTGCCTATACTGAACACTAAATAATGAAATTGCATATGGAACTGCCATAATAGGCTTTATTCCTATGCTACATGCATCTCTTCCAGAAAATAGATAAAGCAGCAATTTAGAAATATATGCCCTCTTAAACCTGAAAGATTAAATTAATTTGTTAAGAATAGGGCCTGGTTTCTCTGGCTGGAAAAAAATTGGCTTCACAGTTCTCACCTTGCCACTACACTAATTGCTAGAGTGGCCACAAATTTGTTTTTGTGTCCTACTTCTTTTATACAGACCATTATCTTAATATGATCAGCTTAAGAGTGAAATGATTCTGCAAAAATATCAGAAGCTTCTCCAGCAGCCTCTAAATCTCTTTGGCAGCAGCATATCAAGAGATTGTTTTGCACTCCATGTATATGCAAGGTACAAAGGCTACCTTTTGTGTGGCACAACCTCACCAATTATTTTCAATCATAACTTCACTTACTACACAAGACCCAAAAAACCTTAGTGTCTTTAAACCTTTTTCTGGCAGGCTACTAGTATCTGAGGACTTTAGTTTCTCTCCACTTGTATCCTGTATTTCATTTGTTACATTATTTGAAAGCTTATTTTTCCTGAAAGTTTAACCCAGCATCAAAAACAGTCTCAGAACAGATGATGAAATTGGCAACAGATGATGAAAGAGGACACCAGAATCAAATAATACTTTTTTAAGACTTGCAGCTAAACCTCAAAATTTCATGGGTAACCTATTATTTAAATCAGTCTTAAGACCAGAGAATTATTAAACGGCAAATATGATTCTGAGGTTTGGAATAAATGGCTGAAGACAAAGGCAGTAATTATGACAGACACAGAACGTTTTTAAAAAAATCATAGATCAACAGACAGCATTCTAAGAACAAGCCAAAAAGCCCCATTTGGTGGAAATTTTCACAAATTTTCTAGAATTCTTTGAGACAGTCAGGTGATGAATAATAGCTATCTCTTGATAAAATTCCTGAATAACAAAGATGAGTCTCATGGTATGAAGGAAGTTTTCTGGAAGATCACATTTTTAAGGAAAGGATGAAGAACTGTGCAGGGCGACTACATAAGGCTGCTGCCAATATCCATGGTGGCACTTTCCATTTAGCATATTCCTTAAGCTTTATGGAATAAATCAGGTCAGTTAACTCAAGAAGCTAAGACAGGATACCCTAAAAGGAGTATTTCTTATACATCAGGATACTACCAAAAGCATAGACATATTCTGAATGAGAAAGTAGTCTCAATTTTTCCTGAAAGTGAGAGGACATTGTGTTTCTCCTACTGCAGCAGCAAGAGGGACTCTGCTAACAAGTTGTGGTCCTGTGAATATCCTTCAACACAGGTACCTTTCAAGTATCACTGACATCTGATGGAGCAGTCTTGAGATGAATTTGTAGTCTAACATTGAGAAAAGGCCTAGTGAACTATTTAATTAATTTTCCTCTATACTGTTTGTATGTGAAGTTGATTAGAGTGCCATTACTTTTCCATTAGACAGTCTCACTCCACTAATTTCTATTCAGAATAATTGTACAGAAAAGAGGTTGCTATTGTTGCATCAACCCTAACAATCAGTTCAGAAGGACAGGGGTATGTGAAAAAGAAAAAATAGTACAGAAGTCAAACATGTACTATAAGACATGCATAAAATTATATGAGACTAAACAGTTAACTTTATCTGCTGGGATTATTTGCATTATTAAACTGTGGAAACTGGTTACAGACTAGAATAACTTTTTTGTGGTTGCAGGCTGCCTTTTGCTCTCTGGAACTTAAAATACTTACAATCCTAAAGTGCTGGCTGTATCAGAGTGCTCTGGTAAACCTGGCTGTGATGCACAGAAGTGGGGGTAAGTCATCTGAGGGAGGGACAAAACAAGAAAGAGAATATAGACATGATTTCTCTAAAGTTACAGGGCAAATCTAATTTGGGTCTTCTGATTCCCAATCAAACATACCTACCAGCTCCAGTGGCTGAACAGCTTCTAATCTAAAGAAAAGTTTTCTTTCCCCATCAATATATTTATAATTTTTAAATAACACAAAAAGTTAAATCTTTAGGAATTTTAGTAATAGCAACAATTGGCAATTGCAACCCACATGAATATCAGTTTAATAATTAAGATATAATACAACAGGAACAGTATGCTGAAAAGGGCTCATAATCTTCAGAAAAGGTCTGTGACTCAGGATTTTTCTTAATAAATTTGTTTATTATCCATAAAACAGCAATCTGAGTTAAAAAAAAAACACTCCAAAAAAAAGAAATTAGGAAAAAATGTCTACCGTAGTCTTTCAGATTAAATTTTCAACAGCAATATAGAGCTTTATGTCAAAGGAATATTTAAAAGTCCTAGACATCTGTTTGATGGCAGTGAAAAGAATGGGATTGAGAGAACTGTAATTAAGAAGGTGACGGAGGGCAAAAGAGGAGTTGAGGACAAAGATTAAAAAAACCCAACATATTTCCACTGGCAAGGATAACCTAGAGCTTGAAGTCAGGCAAACAGAGTGTACATGACTTCAGCAGGATGCTTTGCCTTCAAAGAATCATCTGTGAATAATAAAAACGAGCTAGTCTAAAAAAGTAGTGAACTAGACTAGCATTTTTGCTAAAGCCATTGAAATATTAAGAGAAGTTATTACCATGTCGATAAGCAAGTGCTTCTGGGACATACACACCAAATTAACTGATGAGGTTTCCAAGTTCACTGAAGCAATGATAGGTGCACAAATGCACATGCAATACCAGAATCACTTGGAAAGTCCTGTGTTTGTGTTGCTTTGTGGAAATGAAAACCAAGTAATTATGAAAGGAAGAAAGCTTACAAGTTTGATGCTTGACCCAAATACTGGGTCTCATTTTAATGGTTTCCTGGGAGGCTGTGCTTATCCTTGGACAGTGACAAATACCTTCTCAAAAGGGCTGCTATGACTCTTCCTTCAAACAGCTAGCCACCATTATTCCTTCCTGAACATGTATTTATCTTATTGCACTTAGGTTCCAAATATTTTCTTTATTTCAAATAGGAAAATTTTCTGCTTAATATAAACACAAGTTCTTAAACTGCACCAAAATTCCCCATCTGAAGAAAACCCACACTTGTACAGGTTCTTGGACTCATCTACCAGGGCAGTAGCAAAAACAAGTACTGTAGTAAGGATGCTCAGAGGACCTATGCCATCAGTTTGAGAAACAGGGATTTCTTCTTTCCTTGGAATGAGGTCTATTTCCTTCTTGCAGAAGTAGACTAGAAAAGAAGCTCATGTGTGGCACATACTGCTTCAGTAAACATTTCCACTTCTGCATTCCAGCAGAAAATGTATTTTTCTTTTATACTGAATATATTTCTCACTAGCTTTACTTTGAGGCTGCAAACTTTGAAATAACAGTAATTTGATGTACTACATAGTAGAAAAGTGAAAGTGAATGTAGCCTAAAAGACAAAAACGCATCTGAAGACTACAAACAGTTTTTTTGTAGGAGATCCAAATACACCAAATTGTTTATTTCTTTAAATTCTATCATGGAAAAACTGTAATGGAAGAACAAAATTTTTGTTTTTAAAAGAAAAATTTTTAAGAAGAAAAACCTAAGAAATCAGTAATTAGAAAGCATTAGCAATCTAAAGTGTAATAGGCTTCAATCTCTCTCCTTTTCTTCATCAGTTTGAAGAAAATTTGCAGATCACACTTACTCCTGTGCTTTTTACATTATAGGGATTGACAAAGAACAATTTTTTGTAATTATTTTTAAATAACAACAGTAGTGAGTACGGAGTGAAGACATAGTGAGCAGTAATGAAATACACTTAAGTAGCTTCACTAGCTGAAGAGTTGCCACTGGTCATACTTACTTTTGAAAGGTGATGTTCAGATGAAAATCCCAAGCCATAGACTGTATTCGCCCTGCTGTCTGCCCATTGGCCAAACTTCTGGGATGTTTTAGTAAATGTCATGTTGGGGGTGATGGTGCTGTTTATTATTGCCTGAAAAAGACAATAACTGTAAAAATGGGCTTCATGGTTTTTATTTATTTCTAAAGACAACTCATAATTGCAAATGTCAATATTGTAGACAATTATCTGAATATGCTGAATGAGACACATGCTGGGAACTAGGAAACAGTTTTCTAATTCAATGCCAGATAGAATTGCAAAGGCATATTTTTGCATACATTGTAAGGAGGAAATAGATGGGGAAGGGGAATAGGCATCAATTCACAATTGCGTGCAGTCCTTTAAAGTTCCTACATATAAGGACAATCAAAGTCCTTTTTTGTCTCGCACTTGTAATTTTTTTGTCCCTTAAGGCAGTGCCTCTCAAGTTGCCTGTCAACTCCACTGCTGCTCTTCCCCCACCCATGTTGCAGATGAGATTCTCACTGAAAAACTCTCAATAATACAAAGGAGCACATTTTCTTTTTAAATCTCAGTTCTACAAGAGTCTGTTTCCTTTATACACATATAAGCAAGGCTAACAATGGCAGGGTCATACACCAACTACAGAAGTGGAGCTACTCTTGTTTTAATTTTTCTTCTCTAATTCTTGTTCTTGTATCTACAGGATGAAAAAAATATCATCCTCCAGCATGTAAGTTCTGATAATATAAACACAAAATGAAATTACTAGGTGATATGCTGGTTCTACTAAAAACAACTTAAGTTTCACTGTGAATTTCAACAGTATTTCCATCACATTAAAGAGTACATATGTGAAGTGCAAACTGTAAAGATGGGAAGAATGTAAGACTGTTTTCTCAGAATGCTGACTGAGAAACTTTAATATCACAGAGACCAAGTACTGCTCTCCTAAGATGAAAATCCTTTAAAGTCAAAATCAGTCTATACTACTTGAGTTATATGGACTTCTAGATGGATATAGAAATAAGTAGTTATTTAAAGGAGTTTACTTTGCACCCTTTGTTTTTGCTGAAAGATTTGAGTACCACTGGACCACAGCTACCACCAAATTAAAATTTTCTATGAATTCTACAGGGCAAGCCTGAAAAAATTACAGCTCAGGGACCAGCCAACCTCACAAATAGCACCCATGTTCATACGGTGATTCTCAGATAAAGTAGTGGAGATGAGTATTGCAAGAAAGTTCCAAAGCATACATTTCAATGCAACATGTAGAAAGACAAGCAAAGATACTGCAGCACAGATAAATTTAACAAAACTCTTTCTTGGTGACTTTGGCAGCTTTGTTATACTCACCATTAATGAAGATGAGCAAATCTGAACATAGCCAATTCTTTTTGATAATTTTTGTCCCTAAATACAAATTTTGCCTACTGTGAACAGCTCCTTGAAAATTCTGGAATGCCTGAAAGCTTACATTTGAGCCAGGAAGCCTCATCAGATCAAAGACAGGATTTGCTGCGTGACCAGAAAACGGAGAACTATCTCCAGCATTGTCTGAAAGACATCCCTCAGATGTTCCTACAGAAGCTGCTTAGTGAAGCCACTGGTACACTAAACATTATTCTCCTTTCTTCAGGCATAAGGTTTGGAGCTCACATAAAGCCATCATACTTGCACTATCACCTCCAACTGACTACCTAGAAAACTGCTGTCTATAGCATATAGGACAAAAGAGAGAATGTGAGACAGGACTTCTCAGAAAAGAGGCACTCTGGAACTCCTTTTTTACTTGTATGCTCATCTTCTTTTGCACTATTAGTGCTTGGAAGCCCACATTTGAAAAACCCAGGTGGAAGCCCAGAATAGAGCTGTGCAAACTCATTTAATGCTCAATCTCACTTCCTGTGGAAGCTGTCAACAGTACTATCCTTGAAATTAAACATCCTAGGGACTGTGTAGGACAGATTCCTCAATTCAGAAGAGGACTCCAATGCCAGACAGCTAAGACCTCCAAGCAAAACACAGGTTTAAAGCCTCCACAGCTGCCATTTCTTGCAGTGACAGCAGTATAGCTGGCTGCAGCTTAACCCAGTCAAAACATGGTTCTGCTGACCATGTGACAGGCTCCACCACAGAGAACCTGAACAGGGTGCCTGGTCCAGAATGGGATAGCTTTTTTGACAGCAGTCTGCATTTAGGCTGGGTTACATTGACTGTCAAATTGCTTTCTTCCAGAGAGAAAGACAGGAAGAAAGCTTCAAAAATAATTGTGTTGAGAGAGAGTTGGCTGTGATTCTTTCCTTTATCTTCCAAGAAAGAAAAGCAAAGAGGTTTCAAGTCAGTAGACAGCATTACCCCAAAGACTGGGAAGACTACATTCAGATGCCAGTGATTAAAAAAAAAAAAAAAGCCCATTCACTGAGCTTACCATGAGTTTACCAATTTTACAACGAAATTAAAAGCCTTAGTATGCTAGGTTCTCACATCCAAAACTATGCTTTTAAAAGTGTAATGCTAGAGCATCCTACAAATACACTCCAGTGTCAGATACCTCTGGAAAAAACTAGATACCAAGACTTTGTATATTTAACTTAAAAAAACATATATTTTTAAAATCAAAATTTATAATTAAGCCTGTCCTGTCCATTCAAATATGTACTGCTTTAACTGCTCTCCTCCAATCCAGATTTCACTGCATAGTTATCCATATAACCAGTGTCAAATATTTCATCAACTTTCAAGAATGCTGTTTCCATAAATGAACAAGAGGATCTTAAAAACAGAACAGAACCAATCTGACAGAAAAACATTTAGCTTTTGAAGAAAACTGATTTAGTTATCTTCAGGCTTTTTTGGAATTATAAAATAGCTTTCATGTTTCCATTTCATATTACTTTAGCGATGAGAAAATAGGGCATGTGTCTGAGCTGTTCATTTTATGAGCTGCAAACCTGACAGCTGCAAGATATATAGTAGTAGTCAAATACAATTTTGTCTTGTGCTTAAAGTAATGGCAATAATAATTTAAGATACCGAACTTTCTAACTTCTTCAAAGGAAAATCACTGAACATTTGTGTGTACAGGTCTCACTTAAAACATTTATTGAGCATTTAAAAATTGTCACTTTAAAGTGAGACAGTGATTAAAATACAAGATCATCTGCAGTAACACTGCTGGGAGACTTGACTGAGTAATAATATATGCAAGGTTCATGGAACCTGCAGACTGGGAAACCACTCTTTTCCAGAGTCTTCTCTGGTTCTAGATTAATATGAAATTTAAGTTTATCTTCCTGCTTGGTAGTTGAGAAAAAAATTATCAGAGAGTTAACTAGCAACGCAAGAACCACACTATACTTGGTGTCTTTCTTTTCTCAGTGATGGCAATAGACAAAATGCAAAAGACAGCGGGACTCAGAATAATCCTGACATCTGCCTGTACTATTACTGGAGAAACAATGGAAGCTTTGTTCAATCACCCAGGAGAAAGAAGTACTAAAACACATTTTCCCAAGGAACTCTGAAATGAGTATATAATTAATGAGAACTGAGAGCCTTAGCAACAACTGCTCAATGTTGTCATGCCATACTTCATAAGAAATCTTATTTTTCAGGCTTTCTTTTGAATCTGGACTGGTAGAAGAAAAAAGTCACATAAAAGATATTTACTCAAGAGGTCAGAGGAACCAGATTGAAGCTCAATCAGATTACTTGCATCAAGTTTTCTCTGCAATGGGCAACAGGTCTCCAAATATTGTGCATGACTATAAAATATATAGCCTGTACACTGAACATCTTATGGTACTAGAATATTTTTTGTAGTCAAGATAGAGGGACATACACGATATCTGGTGCAAGATATCTCAAGAGGAGACTGTAGCTTAGGAAAATATTACACAAAATGCATTAAAAGTAAGTGGAAGTTGTGTCTGTAGGAACTGTCTTGGCTAAATCAAGCTCAAATAAGGAAAAAAACCCCCTCTTTCAAAATTAACCAAAGACCCCATAAGTAAATTCAGGTTGGAAACTGCAATGCACAAAAGGGGAGTGAAGATCATGTTTTTAAATGTCCTATTGTTTTCAAGAAGAAAGATTTAATGACTCTTAGGTAATCAGTAGAGAAGTTAAATTATATCCAGGAATACTTCTGAAATGCACCAACCTGGAGAGAGAAGGGTGTGGGATAGAAATAGGATTTTACCTCTCAAATCTATAGTACACCTCTTTCCAGCATTCCTACTGCAGAAATATACATGTGAGCTGCCTTTACTTACTGACTTACTGCTCAGTGCCTGAGAACTGAGCACATCATTCTCTTCACTCTACAAACCCAAAGGATGCTGTTAAACCCCACCAGCAACCATGTGTGCAATAAAACATGGCTGGATCTGTTCCCACTGAGGGAGGGGTGTGACAGCTTCAAAACCAGTAGGGTTTGACAAGTGGTTTTGGCCACTGGCAACATGTGCATTATCAGCAGTGTTACTGACACTCAGCTATATACCATACAGCACAGACTCTCTCTGGTACACTCAAACTTAAAAATGCTTTATATTTACATTTAACTCTTGGCACATACAATATTGTACATAAACAGACATGCTAAAAAAAAAGAAAGGATGGAGTTTTAAGTAAAAATAAACTAACTGTCTGGGAATTATGCTGGAAACCCACTTAAAATTCTTCCATGTGTCCCTCCGCTATTCACCTGTGTATGTTTCAGACCAGCGTGGTTAATGCCTGAAAGAATGGGACTCTCTTAACCATGACTGGGATTCTAGATCTTCACCTAAGACTTGGATGAAAACATTATTAGGATTGCAACACTCACAGAGTAAATAAAAGCGATGAACTGAATTATCAATGTACCTTGCCATTAGGACTGCATGTAGAGAGAATGCTGCAGCAGACAAAAGAACAACTAAATAGGTGAACAACTACTTGACAATTTAATTCAGCCGGCACTCAGCAGGAGTTGCAGCATTAGGATTAAGGTGGAGGAACCCCAGTGGATGTCAGAATAAGGATTTTGTATATTCTCCAGATCATTTTATAACTGGTACTCTTGATTTCGTACATCATCTAGTTCCAATCCCAGTGTCTTTATTCATTAATACTGACTCAAAAGTTATTTTAATTATTTGATAGAACTAATTGAATCTTTTGAAGGAAGGCTGAGAAGGAAAAAAAACAAAGACAAAGCTGAAAAAAATCTGGTAGGCTCTGTTGCCAGTCTCAGCCACTTCAAGCAGAGATTTTTGACTATCAGATCAATTTCTATATACTTTTTCTGATAGAAAATATTCTTTTACATTTAAAATAGCAAAATTCTGGATATTTTAAAAAATGAACAGCAATAATTTTCAGCTTTCAATAAGTAAGCATAAAATCTCTGTGAATACTGCCATGATTCTAACAGAGTACTTTATTTCCAATCATTGTGAACTGATGTATTTCCAAAAGCTTCAAATGAAAGTCTCTGGAAAGGATCACAACTTTTGATTACAGACTGTGTATCTTTAATGCCCTAAATGTAGAGTTTTCTGCTACGCTGTTTGTAAAGTTACTGTTATTATAGTTATGTGGGTAGAAACAGTCAAGGATTTTCTGCATGTCAAATTAATTTCTTAGACATGTTTTACAAAAGGAGCAGCTCAGTGCAATATCCTTTCTAGTTAAAACAGAGAAAAAACCCAAACCAAACCAAACCAAACAAAAAAAACCACCCACACAAATCCCCTACTAAAACCAAACCAACTGAGTCTAGATAAAAGCCTACCATTTATTAGGTAGGCTTTATTAGGAGGCAATCCTCGCATTCTCTACAGCAAAAATTGGAAGATTATATAACAAAGGATTTACTAACTGATTATGGCCACTGAACAGATGTCCTTCATAAAGCTGAAGCTAATTACATTCATAAATGACTGAGTACAGAAATGAAAACAAGTTATTGTAAACCTATGAGTACTCTCTGTACAATTTTTGTCTTTTTACCCTTCTCATAGCATTATTCAAGGCACAGGTCACTACTTCAATTCAGCAATAGTTATAGAAGTCAACACAACTACATGGAAAACAGAATTTACAAATAAACACTTAAAACACATGATGAGGCAATGTTACCATTTTAAAACGTCAGTAGTCTTTTGCTCAGATAATGATACAAACATCTGGGAAGAAACATGAAGAACATCAAACTAGAAAGTAGCAGCAAAAATGCTTCAGACAACTAGGTTTTCTGATATATAATTTACCTTTGAGCCATCCAAACTGATTATCCTGTAGACATTTCTTGTGCTGTCATAGAAGTAGGACACAGTAACAGCATGCTTGCTGGTGGGAACCCAGTTCTTCTTAGTGTTTGGGTCAATCTGGAAGACATGAGCTCGGGTGCTGAAGATGGGTTGTTCCCTGAAGGAAAGAGAGAAGAAGTAATGAATTTAAGCTGTACATACTATCATTGCATACAAGCCATCTGCCAGTTGTGTCCATTTGGATGTACACAAGTTACTCTGCAGAATAAACCTTGCCTGATGACTTCTGTATGTGCTGCTGCATAGAGCAGGTAAGTTTGTTTATACATATTTGCAAGCAAAACTCAAGTCTTCTAAGGCAAAAATCAACATCCAGTTGTGGAGTCAGATAAACACAGACATCTCTAATACATTCAGCACCATCGCATCCTCTCCCCCGCTCTTTACTGCCCACCTATCCCTCAAAACTAAGTGGCGTTAATGCATGTGTAACTTCTCTCATTACACTGCACACTGCAGAACGTGCATAACTTCAAGTCCACTTCTTCTCCGAAATCTTCTAACACTCTGATTATTCTCATCAATTTTATGCCACAATCTGGATCTGAACTGGTTGATCCAATGCAATTACTCTAAAACTAACATTAATTAAGGCCAGAAACATGTGTTGTGAATCCCTCATTCTTTGGAGATTTATGCCTGAAAGTGTAAAGGTATTTACCAACATTAAATAATGTATGAAATACACTTTAAATTGTAAATTACTTAGCAAATAAAATTACATGAGGCAAAAAAACCCTCTTATTACAATTTAGAAATTACAGCATTTTTCCCCATGACCACTACCAGGACGCACAACATTGCACAGAAATCTAAATACATTTTAATATCACTAAGATGGCGATAAGATGGCCTTCTACAAAAGAGTGACTGTATCAGTAGAGAAGAGGAGGGCTGTGGATGTCAGTTGTCTGCACTTATGTAAAGCCTTTGACACATGCCCTACAATATACTTCTCTCTACGCTGGAAGAGGTGGATTCAATGAATGGACAGTTCGGTGGATAAGGAACTGGTTGGGCCGTCACATCTAGAGGGCAGTGACTAATGGCTCAGAGTCCCAATGGACATCAGTTTTGGTATGTTCATCAATGACAGAGAATGGAACCGACTGCACCTTCCACAAGTTTACACCTGACCCCAAAGTGAGTGGCACAGCTGATGCACCTGAGGGACGGCATGCCATCCAGAGAAACCTGGACAAGCTCTAGAAGAGGGCCCATGGGAATCTCATGAGGTATAACAAGGTCATGTGCAAGGTGCTGCCCGTGGGTCAGAGCAGGCCTGGTACCAGCACAGGCTGGGCATGAACAGATCCCAGCAGCCCTGCCCAGAAGGAATTGGGGGTGCTGGTGGCTGAGAGGCTGGACATGCCCCAGCCATGGGCACTGCCAGCCCAGAGAGCCACACGTGTCCTGGGCTGCATCCAGAGCAGGGTGGGCAGCAGGGCAGGGAGGGGATTCTGCCCCTCTGCTCTGCTCTGCTGAGACCCCACCTGCAGGGCTGCATCAGCTCTGGGGGCACAGCACAGCAAGGACAGGGACCTGCTGGAGGGAGTCCAGAGGAGGCCACAAGATGATCAGAGGGATAGAACACATCTCTTATCAAGGAAGGCTGAGAAAGCTGGAGTTGTTCAGCCTGGGGAAGAGGAGACTCTGGGGGGACCTTACAGCAATCTCTCAGTACCTATTGCGGGGCTACAAGAGCAGCAGTAGAGGCACTTTTTTTACCAGGGCATGCAGCGAGAGGACCAGGGGTGATGGCTTCAGACTGAAAGAGGGCAGGTTTAGATAAGACATTAGGAGGAAATTCTCTACCATGAGGCTGGTGAGACACTGGAACAGGGTGTCCAGAGCAGATGTGGCTGTTCCATCCCTGGAAGTGTTCAGGGCCAGGCTCGACTGGGCATTGAGCAACCTGGTCTAGTGGAAGATGTCCCTGCCCATGCAGGTAGGTTGGAATTGGTTATCTTTAATGTCCCTTTTAATTCAAACTATTCTACAATACTGTAGTTGTCAGTTTAAGTTTAGCTACATTTTAATGACAAACTGATTGCTATATTTTTTTAAGGAATGCTGCCATCAAATTCCAAAGATACTAAGTACCAGGACTTCAGGTTGAATTTAACTTTTTAGGTATTTTGACTCTCAATTTCAGGGCATGAAAAAATATACCCTTTGACCTGCCCTCATTTTATTTTCAGAGGTATGTTTTCAACACTTTTTTTCCCCAAAATAAATTCCCACAGAATTTTAGGTACTTGTAGTCAAAGGAGTTTAATTTGACCTCACTACAGAGGGGTACATGTGAACTCAATGAACTATCTCTATTGCTCAGCAGGAAGAGCAGCTTTCAGTAGTAGAATTGTATTACTCAGCTGGGAGTCAAGATTCCTTGAAGTTCACTAGATGATAGACATGGTGTTCTCCTATGTTGGGTGTTGGATGAAATGACAGAAGTATGCAGAACAGATCAGAGACAGCAAAACAGAGTTTCAGTGAAAGATGAAGAAGAAGGAAGAGAAGGCCAATGGGATCAGTGCACATGCTAGTTCTCCACAGAAATCTACCCTCAGCTTCAATTCATCTTTTCCTTGTAAATCACCAAGGTTGATTTCCTTGTAAATCAGCCACTAGAGGAGGTTGCATAGCTGTTTCCCTGATCCAAATCTCTTGCACGCGAATGTTATGTAAAGGTGACTGGCATTCATAGGCTTTTTGTTTAACAGAACAAACGAATTCTTTTTGCTCTTTTGAATATCTAAAATTACTTCTTCAATAATACTTTTGAAGGAGTATGATTGAAGAATCATACTTCAGTTGTCTTCAACATTAGATCTATTTTATGATTTACCTCCCAGTTAAGCATATGCCAATATCAAGGGGATGCATATTAACATAATGCACCAGCTCTTTAACCCTGGAAAATTAAAGAGCCCATCAAAAAATGGGAAACAATCTTAGAAGCCTGCCAATTGTTTTGATGAATATTGACATTGAAAGGAAACTATAAAGGTTCTGACCATGTTAATGAAAGATCAAAGAAGATCTGAATCCAGGACATAGATGCATGTGGTTAATGATGTGTAGTTAATGAATATGCATTTTACCAGCACTGATGCTCAGTTCACTCCCAGTACAGTATATCACACAACTCGGACTTTCAGTATATCACACAACACACCACAGGTTAGGATTTTAATATGTAAAAGGTAGGTGAGTACTATATGGCTGAAGTGAGTGTCAGTGAAAGTCAACTGTTCAGCCCTGGGATGCTGCTCTCCAGCACTGTCATCATAAAAGTCTTCCACAGCTCCACCAAAATATCCTCAATTTGTTTAATGAGGTGGCCTGCATGTTCCTGTTGATTGCTCAGCACTGCTGCTCAAGACAAAGCAGAGCACTTTGCAGGGCAGAGTATGGGTCTGGCATAGACGGTATAGTTAGATATGGAACAGTAAAAATCAAGCTAACCTACACTTCTTTAATCACTTCTGATAAAACCAGAGTTACAGTATTTTCTTTCCATGCCCAAAGTACAGCTTTACTGAATGACAAACTGTGTTCAACTCTGTGGAAAAAGCATAGGGCCCTTTGTTAAATGAGTTGGATAAATCATGATTTTGCCAGATTACTAGAGTAATTAGGATTTTTTTCTGACAAAGACACTAAACTTCAGATGACTCTAGAATTAGACCACTGTTTTGACACTTGACAATTAAAATTTATAAAGATTATTTCTGCAAGCTAATGGAAGTTATGCACTATATATCTACAGGATTACATGTGTTATAGAACCAGTCACTGATGCACCACTGAAGTCCTTCAAAGCTGCTATACAATTACATCACCTGCACTTTTCTGTAGCAACATATTATATAGAGCTACTTAAATTTTACATTTCCTACACCTGTGAACATGCAATACATAATGTATAAAACATGTAAAAATATTTGCAACTGTAGCCAATACATCTTCACATAAAAGTTTTGCTCTTCCATTATCCACATAAAGACACGATGCCCTCCCAGTCTGGAAGTTTCAATCAATTCAGCTGAAACAATATTAATTTTAGGAATATGAGATAGGAAGATAGCTTCCTCTTTGCCTTCCTAGGTGGTCAAACAATTAATATGTGGTTTTTTAAATTATAATATATATTTCTATATATAAAAAAAGGTCTTCTATTTTTCACAGGATCACAGAATAAGCTGAGTTGGAAGGGATGCTAAAGCATCACTGAGTCCAACTGTTGCCCTGCATAGCACCATCCCCTCCATAAGAAGTTGAGAAAGGAAGAACATCTTTAAAGAAGAAAAATCAATCCTGTAAAAAAACCAAACCGCCCTACCAGCTTCTTACTCTTCCCTCACTTCTCTTCCCCTTTTGGCTTTCTCTTCTTTTTCTTTCATTATCAGAAGGTATTCAGTACTCATTAAAGACATTAATAGGAACTAAGAGGAGAACTCCACACTAATTACAAAGCAAAGTAATTCATTTTTCCAGAACTATACTGATACTGAACAAAAAGAAAACAAACTAACAAGAATGCCATAGTAACACAGTTTGACTATTAGAAATGTCCGCTCAGGCATGGTAAAAACATTAAGGTCATATCCTGCTGTTCTTAATTGCCTTAGGCTGTAACAGTAGAGTGGTCAGACAAAGACTAACAAGAAATAAGTGCCAAATCCTCCTGGACCCAAGGAGCAATGTGATGAGTAAGAAAGTATAATAAGTATCACTTTAGCAGGCAGAGTCATAACGAGCTTTTCCATAATCAATACAGACATTTATTCATTGATATTCATTGATCAATCCTAAGCTAAACTTAGGCGATAAACCTAACTAACAGTTAGGTTTACTAACAGTTGAATGAATAGTTTCCAACCACTCTTTCCCTTTTGACATCTTTACACAGTCTTTACAAAAGAAATGCAGACTGCTCAATATAGGAAGTGTTACACCAATCAAAGATTGCATAAAAGAAGCTAAGTTAGTATAGAAGGTTAGAAAGTACTTTCCTTGCTAATTCATAATTAAGATATATTTCATTTTTTAAAAAAAATCTCTATTCTTTGACATCTGGTACTTCTACAG